GAAAGAGTTATCACTTATTAAACAAAAGTTAATCCTGATTGCCCTAGTGATCAGGAAGGGATTGATTTTGCTGCTTGGATTCTGCGTCAGGCAGCTGTCAGTCTCTGAAGCCCAAGAGATACACCATCCCGTGAGGCAGGATGTACACGTAGGTCTGCTACAGCTTTTGGTACTGAAATCTCTCCAGTGCATGGTTGATGGGTCTTGCCTATATTAATTAGAATTAGACTTATCACCTTTTTTTTTTTTTTTTCTTGACAATTACGGCAGCAGCTAAAGCTCTCATTCCCCTCCCTCCACACTCCACCCTGTTTTGTCACTTTATTGTTGTGTTTGCTGTACTGTACATAGTAGCATACAACCAATATGTTTAAGATGCATCAAACTGCTGGAAAATGTTTTATGAGCTGTGCTGCATGGGAGAAGATCCTCCAAAGATCTTTTCTGATTAAGTACGTACTGACTGTCTGCCTGTCATATGGAGAGACAGACTGGATTCAACCCAAGCAGCTACTGACTTCCCAGGTTAAAGACTAAACCATGTGGACAGACACAACTCATAAATGAGGATCACACTGTTACACAAAGCTTGAAAAGCTTAGCTGAAGCCAAGTTTACCCATTAATTATATAGTGGAGTTTTCAGGTTATGGATATACTCTTGATATGGTTTGCTTCTTTAAGAGACTTTCAGTTGGATATTTTTTCATAAAAGCAAACTATTTACAGAATCTGTATACTGTGTAATTATAAGGAAGATTGTGTGTTATCATTTACTTGAAAATCTCCTAACAGGTTTTAATTAAAGCATTTCTTAGTTAATTATATTCTTTCTCTCCCCACCCCCAAAGAGTTTTTCTAGTCAAAGCCAATTTACAATGGATAGCATCTACGAGAAATATTTTGCCTCAACACTGTCTTTCAGAAGCAGATTATTCTTCTAGTTTTGATATTTCCTTTGAAGGCTCCTGAATTATGATCTCAATCAAATTTCTAATGCAGTGGGAGGAGAAATCAATAGAATGAATTTTGCATTGAAAACTATTAAATCCTGAAATTGGTCAGACAATCAGAATATATTCTAGAACTGCAAGTGACAGCATTTTTTCCTAGAGCAACTGTTCACGTTACAATGTTCTGCTTTTAGAAAGGTGAAGTAGTAGGTGCCTTGAGCACACTCTGTTTAAGAAAATAATTTTCCCCTGTTCTTAGATAAGGTACAGAAAAATACCAGTGGGATGAGATGAGACTATCCTTTGGGTCAACATCATTCACTTTCTGCAGAAGCTACATCTCCAAAAGAGAAATGCTTGCAAAAGATCTGGAAGTAATTAGAAATTATGCTATTTGAGCTAAAAACAAATAATAATTTGAATGAAATTTAATAAATTTAAATCTGATGCAAGATGGAACAACACTGCAAAGGTTTTTCTTTTTTCTTTTTTCCTTTTTTTTTTCAACATATAGTTCATTGAAGAAATCTACCTCTTCAAAAGTAACACAGCTGTGACATTCTCAGCTAGGCTGAGGGAACAAAGACCAGCTAATCTAGCACAGATCTTGTCAAACATAACACATCTTCATCCGTTTTATGTTAGAATAGACTAAATCCAAATGAAAGTGCTTGTTTTTATGGTAAGTGAAAATCATTACATGTTTATTATCAATTATGCAGAAAAAATATATTATTTCAAGTACTTAACTGAATGCTTTTAGCTCATATAAGAAATAAAGAAAATACAGCCTTCAAAGTAAGTTATATTTTCATCCTAGGTGATCCTAGGAAATAAATGAGTGAAGGGAAGCAAACTATAATAAAAGAAATATTCTAAAAATACAGAGAATAGAACATTTTCTTCTTTCCCAAGCCCCAAAATGATGCACAATCCTTACAGGAGTTCCTTTAAAACTTAAAATGTATTTTTCACAGCAACTTCAAATTCCTTTGGGGGGAAAGAGTTGATTGCATATCCCTCTGGTCTAAAAGGCTGACCATATGAACTGAATTATCCATGACATGTACCTTCAGACAGTTGTAATGTGATATTTCATGTAAATTTAGACCATACCTTGGACGTGAGCCGCTGGCAATGTTGATTTTATTCAGGAGCTCAGATAAGAAAAAAAACTCTGACATTCTTGCTAATCTGTAGTCGTTAACATGGAATTTCCAACATAAAGAGTATAAAAGCATCTAATTTGCTGTAGCAAATTAAAGGAAAACAAATTTCGTATTTCCTTTTTCTTTTCAATGTCTAAAGTTACTCTGTTCTTGTGCAAACAAAATTGTAATTTTCAAAGGTTTTTGACATCATCATCATCTATCTTTTGAAAGACACATTTCAAACTTCACCTAATCTGTAGAATGTCATTCAGTTTGAATCTGAAGGATTTACCCACAGTAGGAAGAAAAGCCCTAGTTATGTTAGGATTACTAAAAAAAATAAATGAACTACTTCACTTAGTCTTCCCAGTTCATATTAATTTATACATAAAAGCTTGGGTAGTGGCTCTTTGTTTTTATAGAGAGATGATTTAACTCCCGATGTTAGCCAGGGACTGGATTGTATTATGTGTTTGATGTGCCACTTTCTTCTAGCAATGTTCTGTATTACGTCCTATCAGTATTTCAAACCATTTACCTCATGTTTTCTTTTGACAAATAATTTAAAATATTGAATAGAAAACTTCACCGAAGACTTCACCAAAGATTTTCATGCAGATGAACAGAACTGCAGGTCGTTTAGTACACCTTTAGGATAAAATACAGTATTTTGTGCAGATGCAATGCTTTTTTGGTTAGCTTTTACACCAGTACAGCCCCCTGTTGACCAATGTCTGTAGAAACATTTAACATCACTCCATCAGCGTTACAGCATTAGCTTCTGAAGAACTTAAAATATAAACAAGCACCAGAATGCAAGATTGTCCTTATTTACAAGTCAAGGAAACAACCCTAAAATATCAGCTGAGGTATAAGAATTAAAAGCTGTTATTTCCCCAAGTAATTGAATAGATGGAGAATAGCTCTTGAGCAAACACTGAAAAAAATCAATTAATGTTTAGAATTTCAAAATGATTCAGCTCTTTACATTGTATTAGGTATAAAATGAAGCTTATTTTTAACATAGACAAATATTTTGAAATTATAAATAACTGGTATAAGATTCATAAAACCAACAAATTGATTTAGCTGCATTTGCTACATAGCTTGACTGAGTTGTCTAAAGAAAAAGCACTGCAGAAAGAGCTTAAATTTCTCCCTCTTCCTTTCAATCAATATTTGAGGCAAAGTTTCATCTCTAGGGCCCTTAATGGCAGGAATTCCTGGAGCCAGCAAATGAGTAATGTTAAACCTATGATTAGATGATGAGGCCATCAAAGACACTAGACCCTAATGCTTCATTCCACTTTATTCCTGAGAACTGCAGTAAAGCCAAGGACTAGGGAAGAAAGGACTGTAAGTTATTCCTTCCCTCAAGTAAAGGTTTCAAAAGATGTAAAAAAGAAAAAAAAAAAAAAAGGGTTTCATGACATGAACATAAGGCTCAAAAGCTTTAATGGATCTTTTGGAATTTTCCTGGAACCCAGGACTTAACCATTAGGTAACAAATTTTTCAAGTGCTCTGCTGGAGAGGGTTTGAAGTTCAAACCCCACTGAGGGTTCCTGCTAGGGATGTATATTTCTTTTACTTTTCCCTAACCAATATCCATCCTGACCAAGCAGGGAAAAAAGAAAAAGAAAGAAAAAAATATAAGAAGAAAAAAAAACACAAAGGAAAACAAGATGTAATGATTTCCTTATGACAGCAGCTTGAAGAAGCACAAGCTACGGACTGGCAAACAGCAGGTAAGTTGGAACTCCCTCCCCCAACTTCCCCCCAAAGAGTTGTAAATGTTAATTATTTTTTGATAGATGAATCAAAAGTAGATCTTCATTTCATTTGCCCCTGAAAATGTATTTCTTTTCAGTACGTTTTTGGTGTATGTACTCCAAGTGCAGCTGTGAATGCTCAAGGAAAACTGCAAACAAATATTTTCCCTTGGTAATAACACAAAGAGTTAATGTGGGCACTATGTTATATATATATATATATATAAAACATATATATTAATATACAATATACATTTCACTGATATTTTACATGTGCAGGGGACTTGATTACTGATGCACTGGTAGTAAGTCCTTTGAGAAGTGAAAGAACTTTTAGATTATCTGGATCTGTTAGGCCATTGTATTCGCCTTGTATTACATAAAGTGGGTCTGGGGATAGCTTATTATCACCAGTTTAATGTAAAAAGCTGTATGCAGGAAGTTAGCCAATAACAATTCAGAGAAATAAAATCAAAATTGCGATGTGAAGAATCCAAATAATAAATGGAATTAATTTTGAATATTTTACCTGTGAGAGAAAATCAGAAGCTTAATTGACTCAGATTTCTGAGAAATCAGTTACTGCTAAGCTAAAAACAAAAATAAAAACAAAAAAAGCTACAGAATTTTTTAAAATAGAAATATTCTAGTTTTGTCACTTCTTAAGGAATACTTCAGCCACGTTCCTTTGCTTTCTGCATATGACATCAAATATGTAGTATTTTATGTCGTGTACCAGAAATAACAAAGCCACTGTAAAGTATGTCTTAATGAAATAATTAGTCCAAAAGACAGATTTTAGTAACAAAAATAATATTATCTTCATGTATTGTAAATAAGAACTGTCTTGAGAGAGAGTTCATACACTGGAAAAGTGGATTATGTATATCCATACAGTTCCAAAAAACAATGCAAATATATTTTGCATACTCTTTCAATATAGAAGCACTATGCTGTGCATATATTTTTTAAAATTTATAATTTATATACTGCCAGAAGAGATTACTTTGCATTTTCCTATTAGGACATGAAAGAATACAACAAACACCAATGCACAATTAATAGGTTGGAAGAAGTCCAGCACTATGTTAAAGAACCATTAAAATTATAATCAGAGAATGTCTTACCTGTGAACAAAGCAACATAACAAGTTCAACCACGGAAGTACTAGACTTCATGCAAACCAGACCTGCAAAGAAATAGTCAAAAGTGAATTTAAAAGATTACTAGTTTTTATTAACTGTAGCTAAATGGTTTCAGGAATTCTATACAATCTCTGTACTGTATTTTTTTAATCACTTAAATTCAATGACAGAAGTTTCAAGCCAAATTCCCTGAGAATTTCAATTTCAAAGATACTTAAGTGTTCAGGAACTGCCATGAAATCATCTCGAAGAAAAGCTGTACCAGGATCAGTACAGAGAGTTTTTTGATCACGCCTTTTTGTCTTTTAGCTTAGATTACTATTTAGCAAAATAAACAAGAAAAATCTATCCAGCCATATATTTATATCATCCAAAGCAACTCACTGTGCAATAAGCATAAGAAAATAATCTGAGAATAAAATCCTGTAAATGCTTAAAAATAAACTGATCAGATACTGACGAGTAGAGAATAAGGTATCTGCACAGAAATTAATTCAATTTTCATCTGACAACTGACTTTGAAACTTTGAGTAGTAATGAAAGAGGCACTCTTATAAAATCTATTTCCTAGCAAATTTAGAATCTCTGTAGTTCATGCTTCTTGAAAACCTTGAATTCTGCAGCATAATCACAGTTTTTACTTAATTTAAATAATTATTACGTGTCAGATTACCACAGTTTTGAATATTTTTTTTTTTGCAGCTTTGGAGATGCTGATTAACTTTTGGAGAAAAGGATATCATATCTAGGTACTTAAAAGATGTTTTGTAAAGGAAGGGGAAGGAAACCACACTTTTAACCTTGGTAGCTTCTATTTTCTAAAATCAGATACGCAATGCATTGATATCATGGCTTAGGGCATGGAAATGATTTTTATGTGCCAAAGTAATAATGAATAAACAAATAATTAGGCGTATAACAAAAGAAGCTGTAAAAGAAACTGAAAAAGAAGCTGATGTACTTTGAGTAGGTTTCAACAAACAGCAATTAGAGACAAAAGCATTCATGCAATAGCAGCACATATATTTATTGTGGGGAGTGGATAAATACCCTTTTGTGCCCATTTTGCTAATAACCCCATCCTCACTGTACAGTAACACAGAACACACTGTAAGAAGCCAGTAGGATTCCATTCTATCAGATATATGAGCAGACAGTTAAGTAATGAAATAAGAGGCAGATGTGAAAAGCTCATTTAGGGAGACAATTGCTGTAATTGATCAGCTATTCTCATGCTCAAGTGCTTGATGATCAGAAAGATTAATGGGATCCTTATCACCTGCAGGCTACCTCCACTGTTTGAAAACTGACAAAGAAAATCCAAACAGAAAAGCAAACCTAACAGTTAAGCTAATGCAGGTAGGAGCAAGACAGATATATCAAATATCTTATCAGAGAACAAGTTTTATTGTGAATTAATCCCATATGAGGGCAGCTCTGAAAGTAATGCCTCCTAATTTATGATTCCAGCCCACTATGTCAGAGGCAGATGTTGGTGATATGGCAGTAGAGGCTGAACCTTCCCAGCAATATTCCATTACATCTTGTTGCTGTGCAACAGATGGCAGCATTGGGGCAGTCTGGCAGAAAGGCGTCTGACACGGAAGTGTGTATGAAGTAAAGCTGTGTCATTGAATTCCTCCATGTGGAAGAAGTATCACCCACTGACATTCACTGATGCCCGCTGAACGTTTATAGAGGCCAAAACAGTGCATGTGAGCACACTGAGGCTGTGGGTGGTGTGTCAGCAGTGGCAACAGCAACAGCAATCACCTCCACTGGTGCAGATTTTTAGAAGCATGGCATGCAGGCTGGCAGGTTCCTTGCTGATGAAAATCAAAATCATTTGAGTTGGAAGGAAGTCTTAAAGGACATCAAGTCAAATCCCGTGCAATCAAGAGGGACACCTACAGCTAGATCAGGTTGCTCAGAGCCCAGAGTCCAGCCTGACCTTGAATGTCTCCAAGCACAGGGCATTCACAACCTCTCTGGGCAACTTGTTCCATTCTGTAGCTGAGAATTTGCTTTATAATATAACATTATTGTGCACCTTGTAACTGTTGTAGTTTCCATGTAAATAAATAGGAGGCATTATTTTTGGAACAACCTACATATTTTGTAATACTAAAAAAAAAAAAAAAAAAGTAAAAACAATCAAATACAAACACATTTTCTGTGACTCACTCATCTTTTCCAAAATCTGACCTCAGATGTATTAGAACAAGATACAGACAAAACAAAGCTCTCAGAACCCATTTTACATTTTACAGTCTTATAAATTTTTATATATATAATATTATTATGTAACAAACATTATATGCTATGCATCTGCTGAAACTAAGTCATATTTTTGCATGGTTTTGAAAAATTAAAAAATTGATGCAAAAACCCCACTTTAAAACAGACAAAGATAATAAAAACTTTCTGGTCTCTCTTTTTATTTTTTTTTTAATTTGGTTTTTAATTTCCAATGACACTCGGTGATATTTATGCCACGAACTTCAAACAATATAAAAAAGTTTGAAGCACTGCACAGATATTTAAAATGACAGAATGTATGCCTAAAATAAAAAGGCAGGACAAGTACTTGCTATTATAGAATCACTGAATCACAGAATCCTCAGAGTTGCAAGGGACCTTTAAAAGTCACCAAGTCCAACTCTTCTGCAATGAGCAGAGACACCTACAGCTCCATCAGGTGCTCAGAGCCCTGACCTTGAATGTCTCCAGGGATGGGGGGCATCCACCATCTCTCTGGGCAACCTGTGCCAGTGCCTCACCACCCTTACTGTGAAAAACTTCCTCCTTATTTCCAACCAACATCTACCCTCTTTAAGCTTGAAACCATTTCCCTTGTTCTGTCACAAAAGACCCTGCTGAAGAGTCTGTCCCCTTTCCTGTATCTCCACTGAAAGATACTGAAAGATATCAACTAAATAACAAAGATAATCTAGTCGTAATGACATAAACGCTTTATAATTAATAAAACAGGACTATGAAGGCAATAATAATTACTTTAGTGCAAAGTTTTCCATTTAAAATCATAAGAATATTAATAAGTTATGCCTAATTTTTGAAAACCTCGATAATTCTAAAGGGCTAATTACCCCTTTAGGACTGTCTGATCTAAAATTGATGCCTTTTCTATTTGTCTGGACGTAGGCTGATAACTTTTTGTATACCACATCTAATCAACTGTGAGTTTGGGTGGGGTGCTCTGGCATTGGAAGGGAGAAATGAACTGGTTTTGGTAAAATTCCGAGAGGATACAGACCTGACATCTAGTCAGTGCATTAGCACACCCATTCATTGTAACCAGCTCTGTAATTGCCTGCTGACAAAATAAACCACTGATAATATCCAGTAACACCTCTGATAACCAGTGGCACTTGAAATTGTTTGAGGAGACAGATTTACACAACCAAATTGAACAAAGAACTAGCACAGAAATTGTAGTACTTTTAGCGTGTGAGAACAGGGGGTGAGTTAGGAAAGCTCCATAAAAAAGCTAACAGTGATATAGATAGCAGGACTACCCTTTGCAGAGAGCTCAGCTTAAAGCAGTAAGAGCAGATTAAAGTGTGCAATTCCCTAGTTATAAATAAGACAGGACAATTGAGTAGGAAGAAGAAAAAAACCCAACAACATAAGTACTTTCTATTCACCTTTTTAAGTTCTTGTAGGGTACAGGGCTGAAGGTAAAACAGAGCACGGAAACGCAAAACACTCGGATCAGAGACACTGTTTCACATCATAAGTCTCTTGCTTATCAGCCTCCTACTCACACTTCAGGGACTCCATCAGCTTGAATCATATGGGGGAAAGTGTGTGCCCTCCATCATATGCTCCATTTCCTCCTTTCTAGCTGCCAAGCCCTCTATTTTTGTGTCCCTTTTGTTTCTTTCCATCTTTGCTTATTTGTGATTAAGCGGGAAAGATTTGAAATATAAATATTTTCTGTTACACACAAAACACAATCTTCACCTGTTGAAGGTGCTGTGGAATCAACAGTACAGGATGACGTAAACAGGTCAGGATTAATGGAGGACAGATCCATCTGAGACTGTTCGGAAAAACTGACAACGCAACCTCTGGTTTATGAAAATTCCACATAATCAAAAGTTGTAGGACTAAGTTAAGGAGGAAGCACCGTATCTCTCCTATTGAACTAGCATACTGTTGCTTTCATAATCTTATTTTTTTTAATTAGTGAAGTCCTCTGTTCTAGGAAGCCCAGCTTGTGCTAAACGCTTTCGAGTTGGTGCTAGTCATTTCCTTCCTCAGACTGTAGATATACTAAGAGACAAAAAGCAAAGGAGGAAGAACATTTTACAGGCAAATGAGAAGGAAGAAAGTGATTGAGGTATCTTCATAAAACCAAAACGAGAATTTATAGCATGAAGCAGAATAAAAACAAATTTCATGAGCCCCAAATGCAGGAACAACAGCACTTATTCTGCCTCATCATGCTTCTTGGGATTTCAGAAAGACTTTTAGTGTTCAAAATTTTATTAATTTTAATATAATGAGAAACAAACAAACAAAAAAAATGATGTAAAGCTTTAAAAATGAATGGCTGATTGAGGAAAGCATAGAAAACTATTCTTGGTTTTCTTCCCCCACCACTTAGCTCCAATAAGAAGTATTTGCAATTCAAACTAAGACTATTGCCTGCATTCTTCAGCTGCACATAAGTTCTTCCTATACCATCTGTATCAAATGCCATTAAGGAAGCTAATGTAATTATCAAAATACAAGTGGGTATTTCCTGTATGCAGCAAGGTTAAAAAGGTCACTGTCTAACTGAATGGAGTACGTGCTCTCTATATTTGCTGTTCTTAGTGCTTTTCTTCATAGTCTATTCTCAGTCCATTAAATATAGCCACAAAAATTCAGCATTTAATGACAACAATGACCACATATATGGATACAAAAACTGGGAGCATCAAGTGCATGACCTTAGCTAATCTGGAATAAATGATGTATGCCTGACAATTATCTTGAAATGCTCTGGTTTACATGACTTCTTTTTCAGTGTTCTTCC